CAAAGGATAAAGCACCATAAACAGAAAAGCCTGTGGCAGGAAATCCAGCGTAGTCCATAGATCACTCATATTAAGGAAACGTCTAGGGAAACTTGAATTTAAGCTCTGCCCCTCCAGCCATGCAGTCTGTTCCCACTGGTGCCAGAGAGTCTAATGACCCAGTTCTGTGTCCAGTTCCACTTCTGACACCAGTCGATGTCAACAAGACTGGAACTGGTCTCTGAACTGGGTGGCTAGAGCCAAACAAAGCAGTAAAGTCAGGAATCAAACAGAAGTTTAATTTGAGAGTGAAGAAATGTGCCAGAGCCCTGCCCCTAGTAGGGAGATCTCTATGTTTGTGCCTATGGCTATGCAGTGAGCTGTAGCCCTGACAGTGAGACAGTAACAAGGTGACAGGTTTGATTCATAGCTGGGCTTCATGACCAGAACATGGGTACTAAAGGTGCTTGTCCAAGTTCAGAGGCCACCTGATGTGGATGTGAAACAACTCTGGGATTTTGCGGGGGCTGAAATCATCCAGAAGATGAGCACAAAGGATTATTGTACCAAGCCCAGGGCACAGCCCGGCTTGCAGGGCTTTAGCTCTGGAAAACAGGGTGTCTCCAATATTGACAATCAGAAGGAACAAAAAAAACCACCTAGTACCATGATCCAGGACAGCCGGCCCAGAACTGACCCAAATGCCAAAGTCTGCCACCTGGCTGAAAATAGGTGCACCAAAAGAAGTAGAAGCCCATAATAGAAACCCAGGAAAGTGAGGTCAGGACTAAACAGGACCTGACAACTCTGTAACAGAGTGTGGGAAGAGTCTAAACCTGGCCTTGGTGCTAAATCTCAAACCAAGAACTGAGGCTAAAGATGTGATAAAATGTGACCAAACACTAGAGAAGTATTTTGGGTTAAGAATCATCCACTGGGAAAACCCAAAAGAGAATAAACCGAAACAACTTATAAGCTCAACCTCAGAGAAGAAAATTTCTTGGCCACAAAGACAGTAGGAGTGCCTAGAAGAAATAGAGCAAGAGATTATAAATTAAATAAAAGCACTGTAGGAAACTATTAGAAGGAGAATAAATAGCTTAGAACAAAAGGTGGTAAATCTTGCCCAAGAAACAAACTTCTTGTTAAAGGTACTCAAACAGCAGTCAAATTCCATGAAACAATAAGATATATTTGAATAAAATCAAAAGATTGAAAAAATAATAAGATATCCACTATTAAAAGTTATTGACTGGAAAATATGTTAAGGGGAGAGAATATAAGAATCATTGGACTCCTTCAAAGCCATCACTAAACAATAATGATAATAGTCAACATATATACATATATATGTGTGTGTATATATATATATATATATATATATATATATATATATATTATATCACTTACTACATGCCACTAACTGTGCTGAGGTCTTTATAATTATTTTCTCTTTGATTGTCACAATAACCTGTCTTGAATGAAATTCAACAAAGATAGAGGCACGTTTTCTCCAAGCAAGATAACATTTTAACAGGGCTGCTACCTGCCAGTAGAATGGATCTAATGATTATCTCAGTGACATAAAAGACCAAAAATTGAAGATAGAACTCATTTTTATAAGCATAGAACAAAGAGCAGCACAGGGTAGGTGAGGAAGTAATACAATTGGTTATAAGGTTAGCAACATCATGAGGGTGAGGGCAACATGATTGGTTACATTAAGGGAAGGCGTTTACGCACATGGGACCTGGACCACTTGTCTCTGTCTTAGAGGAATGCTTTATGGTTTTGTGGGACCCAGCTGCATCCCAAGGCTCTTGCTAGTGAACCAGGGACAGTAGACTTACTGGCTCCTGGGAATGAGATAAGACTACTTTTAATTGGCAAGGAGGAGGCTAAGAGGGCACAGTGTCAGCTTGTGTGCTCTCGAGGATAACATACATCTCAAGGAGTATCTCAGGAAATGAAGTTATGAAGGATAACATACTTCTTGTCACAAAGCAAGTGGTGCTAGGATAACAGTTCCTTTAGAATTAAAGCATTTTGTGAGGGTATTGAACTTCTAAACTTTAGCTCAGAGTTTTTCTTTGATTAAAAGTGATTGGTAGGAAAACTAAACTGTGGCATCTAACTTGTGAGAAAAAGGTTAAACTTTGAACTCATGAGCTTTTTTACTCAAAGAGGCTCTGAGGTTTGTTACGTAAACAGTATGGTTACAGAATAGAATCAATTACAGAATGAAATAAAATACAGTATCAGTAATTAATTTTCACAAACCCCATTTTACAGATGATGAAACTGAGGCAAATGGAGGTTAAGTGTTTGTGGGTTTTGAGGCCAGTTTTGAATTCAGGTTTTCTTGACTGCAGGCACAGAGATCTATGTACTGTGCTATCTGCCTGCCCTATAAAGTCTAGATACCATGTTTCAGGGAATTGTAAAAGAAAACTGCCCAGATGTTTAGACCCATGGAGCAAAATGAAAGTAGAAAGAATCTGCCAATCGCCTCCTGAAAGAAACTCCAAAATGAAAAGTCAGGGATGTTATAACCAAAATTCAGAGCTTCCAGGTCAAAGGAAAAAAGAAATACTGCCAATAGCCAGAAAGAGTTTAAGTAAGGAAAAAAAAAATAGCATGGTTAGAATCTCACAAAGGAGAAGAAATCTCCAGAAAATTCCATTAAGGCAAATTGTAAAGGCATGCAACCAAGAAAAACTTATCTCGTAGAACAATATAATCCTACAGGAAGATTTTTTTTAAATAGACCTTTAATGAAACAGAAAGTTTTATGCATTTCTAATTACAAGGAGCATTTCTGATTAAAAAGACTAGAGCTGAGTAGAAACTTCAAACTATAAATATAGGACTAAGGAGAAACATAGAATGGACTAAATGATAATAAAGGGCTTTTATTCTAAAAGGGGGAGAAGAGTAAAGCACTCCTTGGTAATTTTGATGTCTTCAAGAATCATAGGTAGAATTAAAAGACAAGCAGAGAATTAGGAGTATATCTGTTATGACAGTCATGCAAGGGGCAAAAAGAAAAACCAGTATACTAAGAAGAAAGTAAAAGGAAGGAGCTTAATATTTTTCATAATCGAGTATGCAAGTAGAAGAGTATATAGACATAGAGAATGGACTGTGGGAAATGTGTATCACATAAATATCGCTCTTATCTGAACTGGGCAAAAGGAGATTTAAACCTTCACAAAAAGTTTTGTGCAGAAATACATTGAACAAGCAGGGAAGGGGGAAAGAGTTTAAGAAGAAGGGTAGTATTTTGAAGGGAATGGTCACAAAACAGTTTACAGGTAGTTTACAAGAGGGAAAAAAGAAAAGGTAAGACTAAAGTTCAGAAGGGGGGCGGTTGGGGGGGAAGGGATGTGAAAGGAGCTAGGGAGAAAGGAGAGGCAGAAGAAAGAGAGTGAATGTGTTATAAATCACTGTTATTAATCACATACTTCTTTAACTAGCAAGGTAGTGAAGTAGATAGAGCTCTGGGCCTGTAGTCTAGAAGACTTGAAATATGATCTCAGACCCTTTAGTCTGGGCCCTGTTTCCTTATCTGTGAAATGGGGTAATAATAGCACCTGCCTCTCAGGGTTGTTGTGAGGATTAAACATTTGTAAAGATAACATTCCTAAAGCACTTAACACAGAACCTGATACTCGGTAAGTACTTAATAAATGCTTATTCCCCCTCTCCTGACCTCTCCTCCCTTTTGCTCCTTTAACGGCTGCCTCCTAAAGAGCAGGAGCAAAGCAAAGAAAAAAGTATGAGTTGGAAAATGCAGATGATATAAAAACAAAAGTGCCAATAAAAATTTATTCTTTGTCTTAGGAAGACAGCTTATAAAGTGGGAAGTTCATTGACTCAGAGAACTGGGTTTAAATACTGCCTTTGACACTTAGGGTGTGACCTTAAGAGGATCACTCAACCTTCTTGGCTTTAGGTTACCTCGCCTGTAAAATGAAAGAATTAGACCAGATGGCCCTTGAAGTTCCTACAGCTCTGTAGCTGTGATCTTAAAAGGTTTAAGGATGTTCATTAGAGAAAATGAATATCTCTCTTCAATTTGCATCTGCTACTCTGCCTGGTTTCAACTCCTCCCTACCTTACTGCGAACTCAAAGCCTTGACTGACACTACCTCTCTCAGCCTTCTCTCCTCTCTGATTGTAGGCTGGAGGGTAAAATACACCAAATTCCTTCATATTCCCTCCATTACAGAAGATAGGAACTAGACTCTCAGCTCATTCTACGGTGCATCTGCTGCCCTACTTGGTTTCAGCTCAATGGAACAAAATACCTGTACTGGGTACCTGGCGATGTCCTGACTCCACCCTGCATCGCCCTATTCTCTTTACCCTCCCTCCCCTCATTTTCTTTTCTCCTTTTGTGTTTTGTTTGCCCCATTAGGCTGTAAGCTTCTTGAGGACAAGGACTGTCTTTTTATTAATTGTGTCTCTAGGGCTTAGCACAGTGCCTGGCAGTAACAGGTGCTTAGTAAGTGTTGATTGGATTGGAATATGAATTCAAGGGACTTTAGAAGGATTGAAAAAGTTGAGAAGTTAAATGATAAGTTAGCAAAGTACCTTTATTTTTAAATCATCAAGCTTTTAACTAAATATGCAATAAAATTTAACACTCCTTAGGGTAAGCTTTGCATAGGTTTGTTAAGCACTAACTGTGTGTGAGGTACTGTGATAAGCACTAAGGATAATAGACTAAATATAGGACAATACTTGTCATCTAGGAATTCACATTCTACTATATTAGGTAATCAGATGTAAACAAGTAAGTGCATAATAGCTTGAGAAAGGAGGAACCATTAACTAGTGATCAGGAAAGGTGGCGTGTGATATGAGCCTTGAAGGAAGCTCGGTTTTCCATGAGGTGGAGCTAAGGAATTTTGAGCATGAAGGACAACCTGTATAAATACACCAGGAGAGAGTGGTTTATATAATGAAAGACTTTGTTTTTATATAAACAAAACAAACCTTTCCCTTTTTTTTTCCAGTTGTTGACAATAGTAGTAATTGGGCAGTATGTGGGAAAAGTTCTGGAGTTATCTCAATGCCTGTGACAGCACGAGCAACTCATAAAGTCCACATGGAAGTGATGCCTCTCTTTGCTGGCTATCTCCCCTTTCCTGATGTCAGATTGTTTAAATACCTCCCTCATCATTCTGCTCATTCCACACAACTTGATGCTGGTAAGAATATTTTTTAATAGTGAAGATTTCATGTTGGAGATTGTGTAAATGATTTAAGTGTGGAACAGAATATAAATTAGTGTTTTTAAGAGCTTACAGGGATCAACAACTATTTCATGAGGTTTCCGACATACTCGGAAGAAATTTTTAAAATATAATCTTTAATTTGTGTTTGAGGGAATATACACTTAAGTTTTATTTCTTATTTGAACACTGTGGCAAAAAATAAAAGTTTATACTAACACCTCACATTACCAAATATAAGAAACTTTAAAAAATCAACAGAAGAATAGAAAGACTTAATAACTGTGGTTAGAGAAAGAAGTATTACCTAAACAAAGGATATATAATCTTTTGATTATAAAAAATAAAAATGAACAGTTTTGATTACCTAAAATTGAAAAACATTTGAATGAAAACAGTGAAGGTGAAATTAGAAGAGAAGCAAATCTTGAGTTTTCATCACTCAACCATCTGATTAGCAAAGAAGAAAATAGTAATGTTGGAAAGATATGAAAAGACAAGCATACTAGTGTACTATTGGAGCTGTAAATTAGTCCAGCCATTCCAGAGAAAAGTTTGCAGTTATCCTGAAAAAAGTCACTAAACTCTGTACATGTACCTTTTGACACAGTGATGCCACTACTGATCCAAAACAAGTTCAGAGGCAGGAAAGGGCCCCTATGGCATCACTTTTTATTGTAGCAAAGAACTATAAAGTCAGTACCTATCAATTGAGGAAACTTCTGAACAAACTGGCATATTAGTGTAATAGAATGTTATTGCACTATAAAAAAATGACACACATTGGGGAATTCAGAGAAGTTTGGGAAAGACTATTGTATGAACTGACAAAAAATGAAATTAACAGAACCAAGAGAACATTTAACACAGTGACCACAATAATGTACTATAAACAATATTTAAAGACAAATGTAGATGTCAAAGTACTGATGGTAAAGAAAGAAATGTATCCCATCTCTCTCTCCACAGTGAAGTAGATTTTAGGTTTGGAATGAAGCATACATATTTTTTTGGACATCTTGAGAATGTTATTTTATCTTCTTTTTTTTTTTTTTTGCTTTATGGTGAGGCAATCGAGCTTAAGTGACTTGCCCATCACGCAGGTAGTAAGTGTCAAGAGTCTGAGGCCAAATTTGAACTCAGGTCCTCCTGACTCCAAGGCCAGAGCTCTATCTACTGTGCCAGCTAGCTGCCCCTCTTTTACCTTTCTTTACCTTTGTTACAAGGAAGGGTTCTGTTTCTCAGGAAAGGGTTGAAATGTATTGGGAAGTGAAAATGATAAATCATTGATAAATTATCAAAATATCAAGAAAATTTAAGTGAGAAAAAGATTTTTCTTTTCCCTTAAATACAATCTTATTAGCTCTTCTGAGTTAATGTAATACTAAGAAATAGAAATTAATATACTGATATACTTGATAAATACTTAAGATTAACATAATATTGAGTCCTTTTTATTTTATTTTTTTTCAGACAGCTGGATTGAAAACGATAATCTGTCAGTGGACAAGAATATGGATGATCAAACTGACAACAGTAGTCTAAAGAGCAAAAGCAGCTCCCATTCAGCAGCCAGTATGGAACACAAAGGCTTGCCGATGCCTCGGCTACAACCATTTCCATCTGGTCAAGTCTTTAACTCAAGCACTGGCATGCAGATCCTGGTAATCCCTAGCAAGGACGACCACATTCTGGAAGTCAGTGTTACATGACGACGCCATGTGTATACCAAACAAATATTAGAAACTGGATATGAATGCACTTTAAAGGATCATAACCTGATTGTTCTTCATTGTAATATTCTGGCCCTAACTACACTTGTGGTGACGCTACATTTGCCTACCATGGAAACATTTGACATTTGTACAGATTTCAATGTACAATGCAGCTTGTATCAAGTAGTTTATAATGTTACTTTTAGAAAATGTTCTATGTGATGTGTATTATTTATGTCATTTACCCATCTCCCAACGTCCCTGCTGTTGTGTTCCTATAGTGTCCTCCCAGATGTCCAACTTTCTTAACTTATGCTGCTGATAAAATAAAAATGCTTGTAATTGGGCTATCTAAATTGAGCAGCCTTTTAGTCTGCAGATTCCTTTTTTGTATGTAAATCTGTCTTTCAGGTAAACATAACAAAATCTTGTAATCCTTCCTTGTTGGTTTGTGTGTGCCTTTTTGGTCACACAGCTGCCCAATTTCTGGACCAAGGTAGTTTCCTAAATCACCTAAGGAGAAAATTATATTTTACCCCATAGCATCTCTGTGACCTTTTCTAAAAAACCGTTGAAGAGTGGGGGAATTAGAGGGGGGGGTAGGGGAATAACTTAACCCCTTTTGTGCCTTGGGGATGTCTGAATTACAAGGATATTTAAGGTCTACTTTATCAGGTTTTTGAGCCATTTTAAAAGACCTCTTAAAAAGGTAGGCCTGGTCTTGAAAAATAAATTGGCATTTAACTGATTTAGTTATGAATAAATGTTTCTGAAACCTTTTTTCCACCCAGAATGTTGATGAAGATTCAGATCTTGGTTTTAGGTATATATTTGTTATATTTAATTGTCACAATTTGTGCTCTTTGGGATTATTTTGATTTGTGTTGTTTCTTCCCAACTCTTAACCTCAATTAAAATGTTTACTTTACTTTTAATTGTGGAGTATTTAACCATTTTTTCACATTGTAAGTGTAGAAATTAAGAAGTTTAATTAACAGTGGAGGTTATTACAGAGACTTAGTGAGTTTTTTATTTGGTTATGGGGAAAAATTAAGATCCTGGAAGTAGACTTCTGATCAAGCAATCTACAGTCATACCATACCAACTGATTATTTCATTCTCATTTGTAAATTTGCTTGTATATATGGTTGATTATTATTTTGAAAGGGAAAAAGTCCAAACTAACTGAAATAATATTTAAGTTACACCAAAAATCAAGAACAAAGTAAGTGTGTGTTAATTTTTATTGGTATCAAAGGTCAGAGCTTGTAAATAAGTGCTATATGTTTTAAACTTTTTCCAGCTCTCAAAAACTATGTATTTTTGTACATATTAAGTACTCTCAAATTCACTGGGAATGCTTTTGGTTGGGATTTTATTTTAAAAATCCATGCAAATTGATAGTTAAAGCAGATGGTGGGGCCTCTTCTGAATAACCTCAAAGGTATGAGCCTTAAAAAGAGGAGAAAAAGAATCCTCATAGCTGCAGCTGTTCCAGCAGGTTGTTAGATACCTGACAAAAGCTGATTAGTATTCTTCAATGTAGGGAAGCACAGAAAAAATAATTATAAAATATCATCTTCGTTTTCAGTATTCTGTATGTTGTGTTTAAGTCATTCAAAGAAATAAAGGTGTGATTTTTTTTCCTGTTCTTCTCATTTGTATTTTACTGGAGTAGTATACAGAGATAATAAATATTTAGTTGTTCACTAATCTGCCCAAATAATTGTACTTTGATTACATGCAACTTAAAACCATTAGTCTTAATCAGCCTACTTTTAGGAAGATAGAGTTTTAAAGTCTAATAGTTGTGTTTAATTTCTCATAGCTTCTTTTTATGGAAATTAGGTAATTACCCAACAAATAAATGACTTGTAGCTGACAGATGGATGAATTATATAACATTAACAAGAACTCCAATGAATAAAAACATCATTTACAATAGGAAAAAGTCAAGTGACATCTGTACTTCATTTTAGTGTGCATTCTTCTGTAAGAGTATACTTTTACCATATCAAATTTAGCATTGCCCACTGTCTTTGAGGCCCCAGATGGTGATTGAAGCTTTATTTGTTGACGTTTAGTTTTTACTATCCAATTTTAACTCCTGCAGGGAAATCTTACTTTAATATTTTAAAATAAAAGACTAGATGAAAGAGAAGAGTTAAGGTAAAGACAGCCAGATGTTGGTATTTCTTAAAATTGTCTAAAAAAACCCCAAACAAACCACATTTGCCATATATTTTTCTAACTACCTGAAAGTTTTTACTGGAATTTAAGTTGCATGTGTTCTCTGCTTTACTTTTAAAACAAAAGAGTGTTTAAATATGTTGCTCAAAAATTCAGTGGTCAGCATTCTACGTATAAGCCATACAGTCATCTACAAATATTTGAAATTATTGCTGCTGAAAAGTGAGATTTAGGCAAAAGACAAACCTGATTTTGTTGTAAAGCTAGCAGTTATAGAATGATTATGATGTCAAGCTTAAAGTTGAGAATATAACATTATTTAAAATACTTGTTAAAAATGTCAATAAGAATTTTTTTGTTATAATTTTGTTAATTTCAAAGAAAAAGGATTCCCTTCATTTCCTCTCTAATATTGTTCCATTTAGTGTGAAAATGATCTTTTTTTAAAAAACCACACAGTTCCCTAAAATCCAATTGTCAAGATAGTGCTTAGGGTGGAAATCTCTTAAATAATTATCAGGTTTTTTAAATGAATTGGTTGGGGAAAAAAATCTCCACAACAGCTTCTTTTCACTTTTCTTTGTCTGTAAGGTTGTATTAAAAATGAAATTAAAGAAATCACAAATTGTGTTGCATGTGGAATAGATATGTAGGGATGAAAAACAGTAAACTGGTAGTCTAAATGAGTGATCTTAAATTGTAATTTAGAAAATGAGCCATATTATTATACTAGTCTTTTTACTTGATTATATTTTTGTGAAAGAATGCCTTTCTCTTGAAATCAGGATAAACCTTTAAGTATAGTACAGGTTTTGGGAGCCTGACTAAAAGAGGTAAAAAGTTAGTGACTTTGACATTGCAGATAATTTATTTTGATAGTTTACCATAAGGCAATTTTTTATATTATCCTGTAACATATTGTTTAATTGTTTTATTTATTCATTCCTCCCACAACTTTCCCCCAGTAAGCAAATTTTCTTTTAAAAAGTTCTTTCAATACATATATAAAACGAATTCCCACATTAGCCATATTGGATAATGTATATCTCCCTCTACATTTTACATTTACATTTTACATCTTCATCCTTTGGGACTTGTGGCTTATCATTGCATTGATCAGATTTCTAAAGTCTTTCGAAGTTGTTTTGCTCTATAATGATTTGTGTATAAATTGTTCTAGTTCTGCTCACTTCACTCTGTATCAGTTCATAAAGATCTTTCTAATTTTTTCTTTCATTTCTTTGGTATATAGGCCTAGCAGTGGTATAGCAGGGTGAAATGAGCATTGTTCCAAATTGCATTCTGGAATGGTTAGACTAATTCACAACCCTGCCAACAATGGATTAGCACACTTACTTTCCCATCCTCAAACTTTTGTCATTTTCACCTTTTGTTATCTTTATTATTTTGATAGATGTGAGTTAAGCCCTCAAAGTCGCTTTAATTTTCATTTTTCTAATTGCTAGTGATTAGAGCATTTTTTCACATGATTGTTAATTGCTTGGATTTCTTCCTTGCCTGTTCATAGCCTTTGACCATTATTTATCTATTCAAAAGGTAGCTAGGTGGTACAGTAGATAAGAGTGCTGTACTTGGAGTCAGGAAGACCTAGGTTTAATCTAATATCAGGTACTTGCTACCTGTGTGATTCTGGATAAGTCACTTAACCTCAGCCTCAGTTTCTTATGTATAAAGTGAGGACAATAAGAGCATCTACCTCCCAGGTTGTGAGTATAAAACAAAATAATGCAGGTACAACACTTGCAAACCTTAGAGTGTTATATAAATGATAGTTGCCATTATTACTACAATTATTTTCTTTTGGGGAATGGCTCTTTAGTTTTGTTTTTTTGTTTTTCATTTAAATCTGCTTCTTCTTTCTTGGAAATGAAATCTTTGTCAAAGACATTTGTTGCATTTCCCTTTACTGTATTAGGTCTGTTTGTGACAAAACTTTTTAATTTTATATAATCAAAATTGTCCATTTTATTGTCTCACTTCTTTAGTCATGAGCTCTTCCCCTACCCATGGGTCCCAAATGTAATTTCTTTCTTGTTCTTATAATTTATTATGTTACTTTTTATATCTAAATCATGCATCAGTTTGGAGATTTTCATAGTGTGTAGTGTGAAGTACTGGTCTAAGCCTAATTTCTGCCAGACTGCTTTCCAGTTTTCCCATCATTTTTTGTCAAATAATGAGGCCTTCCTTCAGTAACTGGGGGAATAAACTGGATTTATCAAACACTATGCTGCTATGTTTGTTTAATTCTGTGTATTGTATACCTAATATGTTCTACTGGTCAGTCTCTCTTTTAACCAGTAAAAGTAATTTTAAACAAAATTTTTAAATAACAGATATCTATTTTCTCTTCCCACATGCTTCACTCTGCCCACCATACGAGTGAGGGGGAGAATCTTATAAAAATATTCATGGTTAAGCAAAAGAAATTCTATAATTGGTTTTATCCAAAAAAAATTTACTGCTTTATAGTACAGTTTTGAAATCTGGTATTAATAGTCCCCTTCCTTCCCACTTTCTTTCCTACACTTGAGATTCTTGATCCATTATTTATTAGCATATGAATTTTATTATTATTTGTAACTCTGTAAAATATTTCTTTAGCAGTTTTGTACAGCACTGAATAAATTAATTTAGGTAGTATTGTTAGTTAGGTCTGTATTTCTACAAAGAGTGTTTCATAGTATTCTTAGGATTCCTGGATGTTTTTTAATATATTCCAAAATATTTTATAGCTTCTATCACTTTTAATGGAATTTCTCTTTCCAGATATTATTTCTAGGTTTTGTTAGTGAAATATAGGTAAGCTGATTATATGCAAATTTATTTTATATCCTGCAACTTGGTAGAATTTATTGTTTCATTAACTTATAGTCAGTTTGTTGGTGTTTTCTAAGTAAATCATTATGGCATCCTCAAAAATAGATCATTTTGTTTCTTCTTTGCCTATAATTATTCCTTCTTTCTCATTCTTGTCTTATTGATATAGCTAGCATTTCTAGGACTGTGTTAAATAGTAGTGATAATAATGGACCTCCTTGCTTTACCCTTGCCCTTTTTGGAAACTCTTCTAACTTTTATTCATTACATATAATGTTAGCTCATGGATTTAGGTAGATACAATTTACTATTTTAAGGAAAAGTCTTCATTCTTTTGCTTTCTGGAATTTTTTTAATAGAAATGGTTGCTGAATTTTGATAAAAGCCTCAACATCTTTTGATAAAATAATATGGTTTATTATTTAAATATTTTATTATATTTACAGTTTTGGTTATGTAAAACTAACCCTGTATTTCCAGTAAAGTCCAACCTGGTCATAATATGTAATCTTTCTAATATTATTTGAGTCAGTTTTCATTAGAAAAATTAGTTTTATTTCCCTGCTTTTCCTCTCCCTGGTTTAGGTTTCAAAAACATTTGTTTCATGGAAAGAGATTGGAAAGGTGCTTTTAAAAAAAATGCAAACAGTTTATGTAACATTGGAATGAATTGTTCTTTAAATATCTGATAGAATCCACTTGTGAATCCATCTGATCCTGGAGCCTTTTTCTTTGGGATTTCACCTCAGGCTTGTTCAATTTCTTTTTCTGATATTGAGTGATTTCAATAGACTAAAATTTTTTTTTGTTAATCTGAGTATTTATATTCTAAGCATGCATCCATTTCCCTTATATTAGTTTTGTTACCATATAATAGAGCAAGATAGTCTCTGATAATTCCCTTTATTTCCTCTTCAGTTGTGAGTTCTTTTTAATTTTTGATACAAACAATTTGGTTTTCTTTTTTTTATGGGTTAAGTAAATGTTTATTTTGTTTTTTTCTTTGGAAACAGGTACTTTTTATTCATCAATTCAATGGTCCTTTAGATTTTGTTAAGTCTCTTTAATTTGCAGAATTTCTACTTTGTTGCTTAGTCAAGATTTTTTATTTGTTCAAGGTTTTTTTGTTTCATGCTCAATTCATTAGTTCTTTTGTTAATGAAGGTATTTAGAGATAGAAATCTCTCACATAATACATGCTTACAATTTGGTGTCATTTATTTGATAAGTGATAGAAGCTAAAGAATAAATCCAGCCTAATTCAAGTGGCCAAAATTGGATATAATTAGAAAGTTTGATAGTCACAAATAGCTTCAAAATTCTACAAAGACTTAACGAAAGCATGATGAAGTGCATAGAGAGCTGGCCTCAGACCCAGTAAGACCTAAACTCAAGTCTTGTCTCTAACACACTGTCTGTGTGTTCCTTGGCAACTCTTTAAAACTATAAATTGCAGAAAAGGTGCTGACCTGCATTGGGAAGCTTTTTTATCATTGAAATGACAAGTTCAGTCCCTATCTCTAAAAGCCACAAAAAGCTTTTTATTTTCCTAAACAAATGCCATGTACAAACAGGAAAATGAGCTGTAAAAGCAGGGTTAAGACACAACTAAGTAGTATG